ATTCTTTTGCCTCAGCCTCCCAGAGTGCTTGGATTACTGGCATGAATCATTGTGCCTGGCCTGTTTCAATTTTTTACAAAGAGAATATGTTATGTATTGAACGTGAATTAATTTAAGAAGAATTGTCAGGCATAGAACTATCAGAAAATGACATTTGAAGGGAGATGCTGTAATAGTACACGTTGAAGAAGGGGTATAACTGGGAGGTATAAGCTGACCAACTGTCAAGAATCAGAGGACAGCATAAATTTGGTGAAATTACCAGAAACAGAGGTTAAGCCCCAAATCTGGCAATTCTAGGCACTAAAGTTTCTCAGCATTCCTAAAAGGATTCAAATTCTCAAAATTCTCTATAACAAGAATACTAGTTAAAATCACTTAAGACTCATGTGTAAGCTAGAAAGTCAATGTAACTAAGTTATAGTGGAAGCTAGCTTTAAAAAAGTTTTGTACCATTGAAGCTGTTTTTCATGTGTAAGTTGGCAATAGCTCACTCTATTTCATATAGTTATTAAAAGAGAATATATGAGCCGGGCTCAGTGGCTCAGCCTGTAATCCCAGTGCTTTGGGAGGCTGAGGTGAGTGAATTGCCTGAGCCCGTGGGTTCAAGAGCCGCCTGGGCAACTTGGCGAGACCTCATCTCTACAATAAAATAAAAAATATTAGCCGGGCGTGGTAGCGCATGCCTGTAGTTCCAGCTACTTGGAAGGCTGAGGCGGAAAGATCGTCGGAGCCCAGCAGGTCGAGGCTGCGGTGGCCAGGAGCGGCCACTGCACTCCAGTCTGGGTGACAGAGTGAGACTCCAACTCAAAAAAAAAAAAAACAGAACATATGTAAAGGACTTAGTTCCTTTTTCTGTTGACAGATAATTATGCCTACAGTCATGAGTTAGAATGATACTCAAACTCCTAAATGGATAATGGAATAAAGTAAAAATACTACAATATGTAACACTAAAATATGTCTTCCAAAATAGGAAGCCCTTAGGCAAAACATATGTGATACCCAGATATATATTATTTCTTTCTATGCAGTTTTAAAACGTAAACAGTATTTGCTAATTCATTATTTAAAAAATACTGTTTACTTTGTACCAGGTGACAATGTGCTAAGATTTGGTTATACATTATGAAAAGTAAACCAAATTTGGTCTCTGTGCTCAAAGCTTATCATCTGGTACAGGAAGACAGGCATTATGTCAGAAAACAGTGTGACTTAAAGTTCTATAAAAGAAATGAACAGTAAGCAGTAAGAAGGCAACTTACAGGTATAAAATAACAGTTTTTTTCAATATCTATTTATGCATTAAAAATGAAAGCAGCTCTTACATTGCTCATTGAATTACATTCTTCCAAAGCCCAAATTAAGGAAGATTTTCTTGAAATCTGATGAATAGTTTATAGCTCTAATATGTTAATGTTAATAGGTCACACAGCTCCTTAAAAATGTTACGAGAGAAGCCCATAAATGCATAACTGGTAATGACATCAGTGAAATTTGGGGTGCTAAGTCAATAAATACACAATCAGATATTTGGTCGCTGGCTATCCTTGGAGCCTATAGCTATGTTGTTGCACAGGTATGTTCTGTAATCCTAAAATACATAATCACTTAGTTTGATGTAACCTGTATTGTGATTTCTAATGCTCTCAAAGTGCAAGTGATTAAAGAAATTTCTGAACTTGCAAGTTTGTCAAGCTCACACTTGTAGTATCTTAGAATTTTTTAAAAGACATATCAAAATAACTTGTAAAGATACTTGATTTAGCCAACTGCCCAAGACTGTCCATTGTATTTGGAGCAAATGTATTCCAAAGTTATGACTTATATCCATAGGCAGTTCTAGGGAGTGATATGGCTTAGTGCAGCATTTCCCAAGGTATCGATATTTTATAGATTCCTTCCAATAACTTTCCTTATATTGATCTATATCTTCAAATATCATCTTATTTCTCTTTTCTCAAAATTTTTGTCACATAAAATTGGGAGTGGCTAATATATACAGTATTACTTACAGAATCATATATTTTTATTGAAAGTATAAAAGTAGACAAAGAATATCAACTTCAGGGCAACCAAGAGAGGGAAAAGGAACACAGATATAGACAAATCCAACTGTAGTTAATGTTTTATTTATTTAAAAATTCTTTTCAGCTGGGCTTGGTGGCTTAGCCTGTAATCCCAGCACTTTGGGAGGCTGAGGTGAGTGGATTGCCTGAGCCTGCGGGTTCGAGATCCACCTGGGCAACTTGGCGAGACCTCATCTCTACAATAAATCAAAAATTAGCTGGGTGAGGTAGCATGCGCCTGTAGTTCCAGCTACTTGGAAGGCTGAGGCGGAAGGATCACCGGAGCCCAGCAGGTCGAGGCTGCTGTGACCGGGAGTGGCCACTGCACTCCAGTCCGGGGGACAGAGTGAGACTCCAACTCAAAAAAAATAAAATTCTTTTAAATTTTTACTGCTTTTAACAGTACAAATACAGGGCTAACCCACAGCATAACTCTTTGCCAGAGATGATTCTGTTCATATACAGGGAATGTTTCTGCTTTTGCCAAAACCTAAAACTTTAATAAGCAACTAGTTCACCAGTCCCTCAAATATGCATGAACCTCTCACTCTACCTTTTACTTCCATCTGTGTCTACTTAAAAAATGTACTAGGTCTAGATAAGGGGCAATGGATTAGGAAGGCTTTCTTTATTACCCTAGGAGGTCCTAAACCTATGTTTAGGCGTCTTTATTTTGAGGTTTGTTTTTACTCATAGTTTCACTTTTTTTTTTTTGAGTTGGAGTCTCACTCTGTCACCCAGGCTGGAGTGCTGTGACATGCATGCTCACAGCCACCCTAGCATCGACCTGTTGGGCTCTGCAATCCTTCTGCCTCAGCCTTCCAAGTAGCCGGAACTGCAGGCGCTCACTACCACGCCCAGCTAATATTTTGATTTATTGTAGAGACGAGGTCTCACCAAGTTGCCTGGGCAAGTCTTGAACCCGCGGGCTCAGGCAATCCACTTGCCTTGGCCTCCCAAAGTGCTGGGATTACAGGGTGAGCCACGGAGCCTGGCTATAGTTTCACTTTTAAAGGGCATAAAATAAGACTATTACTACAAATTTCCTTTGTTATTTTCCCGCCTTCACATCATTTAATAATTTAGATGTAGTCCCAATAAAGATACTCTGTGGTAATCATTTAAAATGACACATTTCGTCATTAAACACTTGTTTTTTGGTTTTTTAAATAAGAATTTTGTGTATATTTGCACTTACCCAGAGCACAATTTAGTAACAGCTACCAGTTTTATTTTTGAGTTGGAGTTTCAATCTGTCACCCAGACCGGAGGGCAGTGGCACACTCACGGCCACCGCAGCCTCAACCTCCTGGCTCAGGCGATGTTTCCACCTCAGCCTTCCACGTAGCTGGAACCATAGGCACATGCTACCATGCCCAGATTATTTTTTTATTTACTGTAGAGACAAGGTCTCACCAAATTGCCCAGGCTGGTCTCGAACCCCTGGATTCAGGCAGTTCTCTTGCCTCGGCCTCCCAAAGTGCTAGAATTACAGGCTTGAGCCACCGCGCCCAGGCCTGAGTTTTATTTATTTTTATTTATTTTTTTACAGACAAGGTCTCGCCAAGTTGCCTAGGCTGATATCGAACCCCTGGACACAGGCAATTGTCTCGCCTCCGCCTCCTCCTAGGGTGCTGTGATCACAGGCATGAGCCACCTTGTCTGGCAGCTAGCTGCCAGTTTTAAACTACCATTTCATTTGTATTGACCAAATTATATTGGATCATAATTAAAGAACATAAACTTTAAAGTAATATTTTAAAAACATGGTTATGGCCTGGCTCGGTGGCTCAGCCTGTAATTCCAGCACTTTAGGAGGCTGAGACGAGTGGATTTCCCAAGCCCGCGGGTTAAAGACCTGCCCGGGCAACTTGGTGAGATCTTGTCTCTACAATAAATCAAAAATTAGCTGGGTGTGGTGGCGCATGCCTGTGGTTCCAGCTACTTGGAAGGCTGAGGTGGAAGGACTGCCTGACCCCAGCAAGTGGAGGCAGTGGTAGCAGTGAGTGTGCCACTGCACTCCAGCCTGGGCGACGGAGTGAGACTCTGACTCAAAAAAAACCCCAAAAACATAGCTACAACAGAAATATCTGTTACATTAAATGAAGAAAGGAAAGTCCTGTATATGTACTGGAGAGCACTGAGGTTTTCCAAACCCATTCTTTCGAAAGGCTTTTAATCGACCTTCATGTAAACCAACTTAAAATTAACAAAAATGTCTCAGCTAAGTGAAATACTTGTCTTTTGGGTCACCGCCTCCCTTTTAGAATTTCTAGATGACTCACTGCATCTGAGATCTGTCAAAGTAAACATGGTTTAAAAGAAGTTAACAGATTTCTCGAGAGTTATTTTTTAAAAACCATCTTTAATTTCAAGCAAGTTTTCTTTTAAACAGACATCTTTTCTTGGTGATAGGTCAGTTAAAAGTTCATTTATAACTCAAAATGAATTATTAAGGAAATAAGAAATGCTTTAAGTTATAGAACTAAAACGGAACTACAGAATGAATTCTACTCCCACCAACCATTTGCTTTGGGCTTTAAATTGAAAGGAACTTTGTACACCCAGGATCACTTTTCAGTGAGAGTATCAGAAAGGATCTATACTACCTGGGCGTGAAGAAAGGGTTAGTCAGTAAGTTATCTTTTAAAACAATCCCTTTGTAGGATATCTGAACCCTTGGTAGTAGCTCACAAGATATGTCTCAGCACAGAAGTGGTTTCTTTCTCTGGGTGTTCAAGAAAGCACTGAATGAAGAATCTGTATGTGGCCCTCACGGTTAAGAACCGGCTGCAAAATGGTCAGAATAACGGGCATGCCAATATTCACATCACAGCCACGTAGGGCTTTCTAGTGTATCTTAGTAAAGAACTTAGAGCCTCGGGTCCTAGAGGCTCCGGGCGCGCCGAGTGTTTTGTGGGAATGACAAACCTGCATAGACCAAAAAGGTGATGAGCGCAGCCAGCAGGTGGACGCGGAGCTTGGCTCGGACATCTTGGGAGTGCAGCAGGGCGCTGTGGAAGATGAAGGAGCAGACGGCCTCCGTGACGACCGCTCGGGGCAGGTCGACGTGGATGGGGCTCCGGCAAGCCAAGGTCCTGTCGCCCACGTGATACTTGATCAGCCCCAAGCCCCACAGGGCGCCTATGCAGTACCGGCTGCACAGGGCACTAAGCAGCTGAGCCAGCAGCCTCATCGCGCCCATCTCGGGGGACAGGCCCCCCAGCATCATCTGCATCATCACGCCGCACGGGTTGTTGAAGGTGCCCGCCAGGGTCAGGCCATGCACCAAGGAGAAGAAGTAGATGAGCGTCAGCGCCCAGGTGGGGTGCGCGGGGTCCTGCTCGCTCAGCAGCTGCAGTTCGTGGGTGCAGCAGCAGAGCTGGAAGGTGGCGAGAAACTCCAAGACGAAGGCGTGGGCCACGGGCCGGTGTCGCTGCCGCCGGGCGATCACGCGGGCCAGCCCCGTCAACAGCACCAGCGACAGCATCAGCCCCAGCGAGGCGCAGGTGTCCCGCACGTCGGGCCAGAGCCCCCGCAGCGCCGACATGGCTCCCTCGCGCCGGACCCGGCGGGCGGCTGGGCTTGCGGTGGGAGGCCGTCTTCGGCCGGAGGCCGAAGTCC